GACGTGAGTAAAAAAGATAAAATTGTGTACATGTAATTAAGTGTATATTTTCCAACTACGTGCTAATAGATTTCATATTTTTTGTAGATCTGAGTGTAGAATGTATGTCATCTTTTGCCTTAGATAGTAGAATAATACTGCACGAGAGGAATAGGGCAGCCTTACTATGCCTCCTCTAACAATGGTAGGAACAAATGTTAAAGTTAAGATATAATTTGTTATGTGTGACAATTTTCTATCTTGTGAGTTGACTTTATCTGATTGTGTAGGAACAATTGAATGAAATGAAGAGTAAGGTATTGTATTGGTTGGTGACTCATCCACACAACAGAGTGGGCTCTCAAGTCATGACGTCCATTTCGAATGTTGGGCATGCACGATCCAAAAGATTGAAATCATAGTGTAGGCATTTGTGATATGTAAATTAAACCTTTATATAATTAAGTTTTTTTTTTCTGTGACTTCTTGTATATGATACAACAATTAATTTAAAAAAACTTTGATTACATGTTCAAGAAATTTGACAAACCATTATTGATTTTCATTGACTCACGTTACTTTCAAAACTGACGTTCGGTTTTTCACAATATATGTTACGGAATTTCCAAGTGAGGTTGGTAGAACACAAATTGTGCCTAGCGGCTTATCCTTACATAATGAATTCCCAATTCACGTTAGGCTCTTTCAAAACATACGATCAGCTTTTTTCCAAGTTAGGTTAGGACATTCGTAAGAGACTTTACTGGAACCTAACTTGTGCCACATCGGTTTTCATCAAATAATAAATTTTCAAATCACATTAGGAACTTTGATAACATATGTTAGTTACTTTTCCAACTTAAGTTACTAAATTCTCATGTGAGGTTGCTGGAACAAAACTTGTGCCAAATGGCTTATCCTTACGCAGTCAATTCCCAAGTCACATTAGGCTCTTTCAAAACATGCATTTACCTTTTTTCCAAGTTAGGTTAGGCCATTCCCAAGTGACTTTGTTGGAACCCAACTTGTGGCAATACTGATCCTTTAATAATGAATTCCCAAGTCACTTTAAGCACGTTCACAACATACGTTAGTTATGTTTCCAAGGTAGGTTAAGGAATTTCCAACTGAGGTTTTTGGAACCCAATCTGTGGCAAGACTTATAAAAAAAGAGTTCTCAAGTCATGTTAGGACATTTCACATTATACATTAGCTACTTTTCTAACTCAGGTTAGGGAATTCTCAGGTAAGGTTACTGAATCTCGATTTCTGACAAGTATCTTCTGATAAACAATGACACCCAAGTAAGGTTATTCATTTCACAACTTATGGTAGGAATTTTTCTTGCTTTGGATATAAAATTGCTAATCAACATTATTGGTTCCCATTATCTGATAAGTCTCTTAAATGTCTAAAATACTGCATAAAATTTTAATCCCAAGTAAGGTTCTATGTTGTCAGTAGTTACATTAGCAATATCCTTATGCTATGTTAGTGAATTCAACAGTCTTATGCCATGACAGTATTTTTACTCGAACAAATTTAGACTTGAAATTTTCATCAGCTTTATATTACACTGATTGCAATACATGTACACCATATTTGCATCCCTTTTTACATAAAAAATATCCCAGCTACCTAAATGGTACCTATGCAGTCCTTATCAAAAAACAATATAGACTGCAATCCCATTAACATAATCTATCACCTCCACAAGTACAAAAAACATATGAGGTGGCTGCCTGTACAAAAGGTCATTCAACAGCAAAATGCACAAAATAAATAAAAACCATATGCATTTCAATTTTAAACTAACTAATATGCATATGGTTTTCACCCCCTTTCAATCCCTACATCTTGAGCAATGATACACTTTTTTATTCTAAAACTATGACTCTCTTCGCTTAGTAGGTGGTCACCTTGGGGGACATGTAGTCAGTGGTGGTTCCAAAAAGGTATTCTTTTCATAATCTTTATAATGTAGCTCGGTCAACTGAGGCATGTTAATGGTTTCCATCGAAATCATTGTGGAGCTGTAAATTTTTTCTTGTGCATGAATAGTATAGCATTCTTTAACATATAAATACACATTACCCTGAATTAATTTTATTGATGCACATGCATGTGCACAAGGAATTCTTACCATTTGTCATTCTTGACAAGAGCATTCTCACAATGTTAGATTCACTCTCAAGTCATTGTTTCCTACCTTCACTAGTATCATATTCACATTATAATATTTAGCCACCATAACTTCAGCTCTCAATACATTCTCCCTCAATTTTGCCTCAACACGTGGTCCAACTCCGTTTGACCAATTCGCCATTTCTATCTTGCTATTGTATAGCTTCCTCGCTAATTTTGCTTGGTGCTTATTTATCAACGTACATATATTATGTTTTCTCTCTTTCACTAAGCATTGAGAGATTCAGCATGGTTTGATGTTATATTGCCCCATCTTTTATATGGAAATCTTGCTAACGCCAAACAATCTATGTCTCCATTTGTTTCTAACCATCTTGCCAACTGTGGGGAGAAAACCATCAAATGACCCATAGCAACATGAAATTCTGTTTCCAACCTTGCATATGCAATATTATCCAACAACTTAAGTGCATCTTCCTTAGTCATCCTATCAATCCTTCGCATGCCTCTGTTAATTTTTGTAAATTTTGAGCTGTAATTTTCTTTAACATGACGATAACAAAAAGCATGTCAATTGCCATCAAATATTGCACACACTACACCAACAATAGCATTATGCCTGTCTGACACTATGGTCAATTGAACTTGGTGTGTGATCTCTCTCACATTTTCAAGAAAGCAAACCCAATTATCATATGTTTCTCCACTCACTATTGCATAAGCCAAAGGAAATAAGTCATTATTTATATCAATTGCAGAAGCTGCTAGCAAAGTCCCGTTATATGAACTACTTAAATGACTTCTATTGATAAACAAAATTGGACGAGCACCTTAGAGAAACCTTTTGATGCAGCATCCATATGCAATAAAAAGTCTATCAAATCTATAATTTATAGGCAACCCACTTTGCAACTGTGTTTGGGTCCGTCTCCTTCAATTTCTCACAAAGCCATGGAATCAATATGTATGATTGTTGTGGAAGCCCATGTATTTCCTTCAATGCCCTATCTTTTCTCCTCAAAGCTTGCCGATATGTGAGATTTAACCCATACTCTTTGTAGAGGTCTTGTCTAATCTCATTTGAAGTTTTCTCCACATTCCCCCTCACAGCATCAATGATGATTGATGATGTCAATCTTGAGTTAGCCTTTTGCTTTAATAGGAGGTTGTCTTGAGCAGAGTACATGTGTTCATTGTGGAATTTTTTCACACACAATATAGAAGTTGTCTTCCCAAGAGCATAAGTTGATGTCTTCCATTTACAACCATCAATATTACATTTAACAATCATCTTCTTAGGTTTGTTTCTCACAAATATGTAACCAAATCTATGAGCAAGACTATATTTATATAGTGCTTTTCTGAATACAATTGCATCATCAAATGTCTGGCCAACACCCATAAATAAATCCTTCCATTTTATCGAATTAACCTCAGGCAATGGTGCAAGAGCATTTTGTGTTGAAAATGGCAAAGAGGGTGATATACTTTCAAGCTCTTGCCTATAGGGAGATCCTGGCAGTGACCATGTTAACAAATTCTCCATCCTACATTCACAATTACTTACAGGTCAATATAAATGATCATTAAACTAATTAAACACACAAATAACTAAGAACAACAACTTACTCTATCAAATTATCCATTGCTTCATTTATTTCATTATCATTTGTTTCAACATACACATGTGCTAACTCATCATTATACTTTATCAAATGTTGTACTCCCTTATCGTCTAACAGATCTATGTATGTGTTTTCACTAAACTTCACTGTAAATTTCAAGTCAGCTGCACCACTTTCAACTCCTGTCACTGATGACACCATCCTCAACAGCTCTTCATGATTTATGCATTCTCTAATTAATTTAGAAATTAATCTCCCACTTTCATAGGTCATCTTTCCTTATAAATCTTTTACAAAATGTCCATCAACATGAAGATAACAAAATACTTCTTTTGATGAAGTACTTGCCATATGAGAAATAAACCTGAAACAACTACAAGCAACATACAAATTTAGTACTTCACAACTGTCCATTCCATAATTCCAACCTTGACTACATAAATTCAGCATCCATATTACATTTTTCTTGTTTTTCACTCCTTAACTTTTTCAACTGTGTCATCCTCGAAAATCATTTCTTTCGCATGTCTATATATAAAGTCTAGTAATCATTAAGAAAACTACTTTTTTTTCCTAGGTATAAAACAAAGAGAAATGGTGCAAGACAACATTTACAAAGATTAAAACATTCTTTCTGTGCGTGCATGACAGAGAACATGTGTAAAAGAAAAAAACATAGCAATGAAAGAGAAATGGAAGAAGAAGATGTAGACTTCTCTTCCATGCATGGCAGAGGATGAAATGTAAAAGAAGTAATGCATACAATTACCTATTAAAAGATGATTATGGTCCACTAATTTTTTCCTAACATTTTCAGTGCACGAGAGCACATTCCATCAGTATTTTTCCTGCCAAAAAATAAGAAAACAGAGCACACGAGATGAGCATCTTTCTTGTTACCTTTCAATGTTTAGTGAGGGGCAGTTTTGTAAACTCAAGTTTATTTTTTTATCCTACTTAAAGACTATAATCTTTAATTGAGATTTTTATTTTTCATGATCCCTAACTGAAATTAATGTCTTGAGGGGGTCCTCAATCGTCATTCTCCCTAAATAGTAATTCATTTCTCCAAAATTAATCTGCCCGCATCCCCGTGTGATCACTGGAAAACACAGAATTGACGTAGGGCACATGTGCTTATTTAGCCTGATTATATGTGTGTGCGTGTGTGTGTGTATGAGCCAGCTGGGCCGTTTGTATAATTTATTTATTTATTTATGGTAATAACATCACATTATTTTTTATTTTTTCTGAAAGCTGTTTAGTTGCCGATCCGAGTGGGCCGTATTTTCTTCTGCTTTTTCTTCCAGTTACCCCCCCTTCTGATCCACCGTCCCTGTCTCGCCGGCGACGAACGCCGTCGTTTCCGTCCGCCACTGGCGAGGTACGTGACCCCATTTCAGTTCACTCCATTTCCCCCTCTCATTGTCTTTTTCTCCCTAATCATTCTTCTTCTCTTGCATTGTTTTGGTCCCCATCTGAATGTCAGGACTTATAAAAATCAAGAAACTTGATTTTTTTTTGTTTTTTTTAAGATGCAGTGGGTTTTATCTGCTTCTCTCCATTTCATGTGTATGGATAATTGATTTGCTTTGATCTGTTGTAAATATTTATCATCGGAGCTTTAGTGTTGGGTGTGCCCTTCTGCATTTCTTTATTTACTTCTCGATCTGGAAAATTATGAGTTACTAGAGTTAGTTTGACTAATGTTCCCATATCAATAATTTTATCTGACCAACAGGATCCATTGGGGAGTTGAAATATTTATGGGCATAAGTTTGCTTAAATCTTGTGAATCGTCCACCTAAAATGGTAAAATGTTGAAGCGATGTTAAATCTGAATGAGTCAACCAAGTAAATGCTTGGACTTAGAAGTGTAGGTGAAGTAGGAGTCTGGAGTGGATGATGAAATTCCCCAAGCGTTACTTGATTGTTGTTTTGACCTTTGTCTGCACATCAGTGTGTTACATAGAGAGAGTTGGATTTTCAATTGCATATACTGTTGCTGCTGATGCTGCTGGCGTGAATCAATCTAGCAAGGGTGCTATACTATCTACTTTCTACTATGGATATGCTTGTTCGCAAGTGCCAGGAGGATGGGCTGCTCAGAAAATTGGAGGGAGGACAGTTCTCCTTCTTTCATTTGTATCATGGTCACTAACTTGTGCACTGCTTCCATTAGATCCAAATCGAGTTTTTGTGTTAATAATTGCACGATTGCTAGTTGGTGTGGCACAAGGATTCATCTTTCCCTCCATCCACACTGTTCTAGCACAATGGGTTCCTCCCCATGAAAGATCTAGATCTGTTTCTCTTACAACTTCTGGGATGTATCTAGGTGCAGCAATGGGGATGCTTGTCCTTCCCAGTCTAGTGAAGCTTAGAGGTCCTGAATCTATATTTGTTGCTGAGGCAGCAATGGGTGGTTTGTGGTCTTTACTTTGGTTTACATATGGAAGTGATCCTCCTCGAATTGAGCATCCAAAAGCCACGGCTTCTGGCTTTGGGGAATTGTTGTTGCCCATCAAAGGGAAGCTGAGATCAAAGGTTGAGAATGCAAGAATTTCAGTCAGAACTGCCAAAATCCCTTGGGTGAAAATCCTAACTAGCTTGCCAATCTGGGCAATTGTTGTGAACAATTTCACTTTTCATTATGGTTTATATGTGTTGATGAATTGGCTACCAACATACTTTGAACTAGGCCTTAAACTTAGCCTTCAAGATATGGGTTCTTCAAAAATGATGCCTTATCTGAACATGTTCATATTCTCAAACATTGGTGGTGTAGTTGCTGATTATTTAATCACCAAGAGGATAATGTCTGTGACAAAAACCAGGAAATTCTTGAACACCATAGGATTTTTAGTTGCTTCTCTTGCGTTGATTGTAATTCCCATATTCAGAACATCTGGTGGTGCTGTGTTCTGTTCTTCTGTGGCTCTCGGTTTTCTGGCTCTAGGAAGAGCTGGGTTTGCAGTGAATCACATGGATGTGGCTCCAAGATATGCTGGAATAGTGATGGGTGTTTCTAATACTGCCGGAACCTTAGCCGGCATTGTTGGAGTGGACCTTACCGGCAGGCTCCTTGAAGCTGCTAAAACTGCTAATTCAGATCTTACAGGTCCTGAAAGCTGGAGAGCAGTGTTCTTCATTCCTGGCTTGCTATGCTTTTTTAGTTCTTTGATATTCTTACAATTTTCAACTGGGGAGAGAATTTTTGACTGAGGAAGGTTGCTCTCACTTGATGATCTCTGGCTCATTGAAGTGTTTTTGATTAAACATGCACTAGATTTGTTATGTTATTCATAGAGATTTAATTTTATTTTTTCAGTTATTTCCCCAGATTGTATCATCATTCTTGGATAGGGGGGTTTCAATTATCTGGAGATTGAAGCTTTATACATTTCTCCAACTTGTATTGTATACATAATCAATCATAAATGAAGATTAGGAGCCTTGATGGGCAATGACAGAGCTACCTGGAAATAGTTGTTTCATTTTTCTTAATGATGTTTTTGGTCAACTGGTAATTCATTCATCAATAAAAATGCGCTTAACAAATAGCCCAATCAATATTTTTAAAAGATTTTAGGGCCTGTTTAGTTGCTGGCAAAAATGGAATGGAATGAAATACATTGATAGAGAACTAAGTGGGCTAAGATAAGGTTGTGGATTGATAAAGATGAGAATTCTAGAAAGGTGAGAGTCATTAAGTGATGGATAGATGGAAATAGAAATTGATGATTTTATTCATGTCAATCCTCATTCTCACCTCTCTATCACCCATGATTTTCATTTCTCTATTGTCCTCACCTTTCTAGTAATCCCATTTTTCATCTATTAACTTATTTATTTCTTTCCAACAATTAAACGAACCCTTAATATTAAAACATGGGAGAATGTTACTGAATTTGAGAATATTATTTGTGAAAAAAAATCCTAATTTAACACTAATATTCTTTTGAGATCTTTATTTGTCATTTTGTCATGATCAAACCGAGATCCATGTTTTAATGGGATCTAATGCATTTTTCATATTATAACTCAATTTAGTTTATTGTTCATTGAGTAAAGATGTTGTAGCCATTTATACTATCTCTTCAAGATGATGTTCATTTAATTCCCTACTTATTTCACTTACAAGGCATGCTATGGTTAAAACCTTTTCTTGTGGGGTTTGGTTTTTTGTTTTTTTAAACGGGGTTTGGTTCACTATAACGTATTTGCATAAATAACAAGGCGATATGATACAAGTTATTTATAAATGACCCAGAATCGAGGAAATTTCTAGTGCAGTTTCATTTTTTTTTTAAAAAAAATCTTTTTAGTTGACAAATAATAATACAATAAATGAGCTTCTCTTGCGCCTGAAGGAAGCATAGATGCCAAATGACGTCCGAAGAAAAATAAAATTGTTTGCACAAGGCAAGTTTTTCTTTTAAAATTTAAATTTTTGGCCTCCCACAAGGCAAGTTTAGTCGAAAGATAAATTAAAATGTCAACTAGGGGACTCTTATTCATCAAACGGCAAAGAATATTACCCCAAGGAAGAAAATCTAACAGGCTGCTGAATAATTCAAAGAACTCATTATAAAAATATTTCAAATTCCTTACCCAAAAAAAAAAAAATATTTCACGTTTAAAAGTCATTGAGGTATAAGTGATTAGATGACTTTGAAAAAAAAAAATTAAATATGATTTCGGCGTCAACATTAAAAAATATATATATATATATATATATATAGAGAGAGAGAGAGAGAGAGAGAGAGAGAGAGAGAGACTGCTGTTTATTTAATTTATAAAAATCCATCTTCAAAGTAGAGTGTCTACATTGGACTTCATTGTCATTTGTGGGTGGCTACTCAATTGTGTTGTTTTCATATTTCTTAAGATCATTTATAAATAATTATTTTTTGAGTTTCAGTCATGTGCTAATAATTCTCTTGTTAATTAATATCATTTTCTCAATAAAAAATTATTTTTTATAAATAATTTCTTAGACTTTCAGTTTTACATAAATAACTTTCTTACATTATAGATAAAGTGCAATTAATCTTTAAAATTTATATGAGGTTTCTAGATCAAAGTATCAAACTACACAATCATTTTGTATTAAAAAAAGGATTATGATTATTTAATTCATAAATATATATGTTTTCATACAGTGCATAATATGTACATGAGTTGTAGTTTTAATGTGCGTTTGATTTTCTGCTAATCAAAAGTTAGTTTATCAAAAATTTATTTAATAAGAATTAATTTAGTAAAAGTTAGGTAATTTAATAAAATTTATGTTTAAATATATATTTTTTAAAAGTTAGTTTGGTAAATTAAAATTTATTAATATAATAAAATATGCTTTTTGAATACATAATCATTAAAAAATATTAATTTATAATAATTTATAATTTGTATTATACAAGTGTAATATATTAAAAATGTTTAAACAATGTGACAAAAATTTAAAAAGACATAAAGTTTGATATGTTAAATAATCAAAATAAAAAAAATAAAGTTTGATGTATTGAAAAATTATATAATAAATAGTTTAACATATATTAATATTAACAATTAACGTGATTAATTATTTTATATATAATGTATCTCTAATTAACATGACTAATTATTTTATCAAAAACCACACTTAAAACTACACTAATAATTGATTGTGGAGAGCACGGTCAATATTATCATCATCAAGGTTGTGAATGTACATTTAAAAAGCTTCCCCCTAGCACATTTTTAAATCTACTTTCAAATGACTTCTAGATTTGTATTTGAAAAATCATTTTACCCCATTATTTATATTTTATATCCAAACAACTTCTCACATATAAAAAGTGAGAAAAATTCTTTTTCAAAGTGAGAAGTTGTGTATCCAAATTCATGAATAGTTTATATTATAGTAATTTTATATTTGATATTTTATATGTAGATAAATAATAATTAAAAATTTTAATAAAATATTATACATTTTAAAATATAATCAACAATATTCATTTATTTGTAATGAAAGCGACAAGGGTAAGGGCAATAAAACCAACCGTAGAATTGAGAAGCGAGAACCCATCATAATAATAAATTTTTTTAAAAAAAAAATTAAAATTTGGATATTTTATTTAAGTTTCACCCTTTTGTTCACATGTCTTTTTCACTTGTTATGTTTTTTAAGTTTAGCTTTATGCCTTTATTCCGCGGTTAGCCAGTGGAGTCAAAAAGTAGAACCTACCTGGCTACCCGGTTGATCAGCCTTCACAGCTTTCATTCGCTTCTCATGCTGTTCATCCCTCAGCCATCTTCATCTTCGTCGTCGTCGTCGTCGTCGTCATCTATCTCGGCATTCTGCAGGGTATTACGGCCATAATCTGTGCTTATCTCATGGCTTGATCATTGAACGAATTGATTCAATGGGAGCACCCTATCTTTCAATTTTGCTGCTTTTTTTGTTTGTTATTTTTTCTTTTTTGGTTTTTACAATTTCAAAGTTTCTTACTTCAGTTTGAATTTCTGTCGCCGTATTGATTTGGTTTTTGGTCGAAACAAATTCTAATTTCTGGAAGGACTAGCACAATTGTTTGTTTGATCATTTTTGTTTCTCTATCCTAATAGCCATAGAAAAATCTCCCCTTTTAATAGCCTGTACTGTTGGATTGTGTAGTTTGTGTCGTCGTGACTAGTTTTGTTTGCTTTGCGAGAACCCCACAGAGACGTTTATTTGCTTGTTTTTATCTGTGTATAAAAAAATTGGATACGAAGCATTTATTTATATATTTTGGAATTGTTTGTTTGCTTTTCAGGTTTTCTTGTACCGTCTCCGTCCGGGGACTCTGTCTTGTATGGCTTACACTGATTTCCTTTATTTGTTATTCGCCGTCGGAGTTTGGTGTACTGCTTACATTACTGCTGCTATTGTTGCCTCCTTTCGAGCCATCAATTTTTTCCGCCTATTTTGAACGGGAAGAAAATCACTTGGAGTTCTGTGAAACTGCCATGGCTTATGCACAGCTTGTTATAGATCCAGCTCTTAGCAAGGAGGTAATTTATTATAACCATCTTCGTTCTTCTGCTATGTCCTTGCTCTTCTTTGGATTGGTTTTCGTTTTCTTCTTTCTTCTTTCTTCTTTTTAGTGTAAAATTGTTCAGATCCATATTTGTTTCTGTAATTTGCTTTCTCAATTATTCCAAGTTTGTATCAACAATGTCAAGCTGCATAGCAAATATAGCAGATTGTTTGATTTTTATAAATTTTCCGCACTGTCATATTGTTTTATACTTATAACTATTGTTGTTCACTTTTTCAGCGTGGAGTCTAACTTCTTCTTGGAAACTTAGTTCAAGATAGATATCACCCTATTGATATCTTTAATTGAATTTGTGGGTAACCTTGATAATTGGAAAAACGTTTGCTGGTCTTTCCTACAATAAATTGTGCCCTATCGAATTGGATTGGATGTAGTCAGGTTAAAAATGTCTTGCATTCTTATTATTCCCATGGTCAGTATTGTTTTATGGCCTCGTATGCCCAGGATGCAAGTTTTATTTTTGATCTGCCCGTGTTAAAAGTTTTTCAGAACTCCTGCTATTATAGTTGTTTTCTTTAGTTTTTCAACCCAGGGAGTTGCTTGATTAGCTGTGTTGACTGTGTATTTATGTAAACCATACAGGATAAATAGTTCAACCTGCATAATCTTCAACGTGTTTAATCCCTTCAAGATGGTTTATTCTTAACCAGCTATTCTTTCTAATGGCATTTTCCTCATTTTTCTCTAGCTTATTAGAGTTTGTGCCATATGAGCTATCATATTTTATTTGGCTAGAACCTTGGGTACACTTTATAGAAGATCTCTAATGAAACCATGACAAGTTCATATTTTTACAGCTCAACATCATATGTTGATTCTCTCAAGTTCTTTCACATGTTATCTTTTTAATGAAGAACTAAAATTGCAAATACCTACGGAAAGTTAACTTATCTATTTTATTTTCACATTTCATTGGCAATTTAGTGTTCTGCGAAGCAGATTGTGGGATTTTGTAGAATGTGTTAGTCCCACCAAATAATGCATATCAATTTTGCTAGCATTGTTTTAGAATGAAAGAAGGTTTATTTTAGTAGTTTATGGTCTTCTTATTTGAGTTGATTCCCGAGTTGAAGGAGAAACGCAATCTTTATGTAATTTTTAGTATGCTGGAGTAGTGATTCTGTTCCAGGCAGGTTTTCCAGGGATATTTCTTACTTCCACTTCCTCTCACATTTTGCCACGATCATTTCTGGAGATATCCTTACAGTCGATTACCATGAATAACAATTAAACTTTCAAATATATTCATTTTTTTCCCTATCCTTTTGTTTATATGTTATTATATTTACTCTTTTTCTGCAACAAGCCAATGACTATAACATGTTAAATTTTATTCCACCTGGATGGAGAAAGAAAAGGAGGCGTGCTCTGTAGCTGTCTCTTGTTTGCTTCATAATTTTACTTTCTGCCAACTTTCTCAGTGATCGTATGTGGTTTGCCTACAGTTATTAAAAGCTCACTATAATTCAGGCTACAGCTTGTAGCGCTGTGGTACAGCTCTTGGTACAGAAGCTATTTTTATATGACTATAGCTCGAGCTACAAGATTACTGATAAATAGCTCGACAACAGCTCTAATCTTTTATTGTTTGTCATGGGATATTCTCTCAAACCATCCTTGGACGTCCAAAATTGAATGATTTAGCATTCAATGATGTAATATAATAATGGCTTTTGGGAGAAGATTTAATTCTTGTGATGTCATTGACCCAATCTTATTGAAAGGAATTGATTATAGCAATGAATAGTTGGTTGGCAAGTTGGACAAGGAATTAACTGTTTTTTTTTATTTTTTTTAATTATGTCTTTGTTGCTATTATTCAACAAATTCTGAATGTCTAATGCAACTTTTGGCGCATCCTCTCCACATCCTTCCATAGCAGATGTGGCCTTAAATTCTGTTCTAAACTTTTAAGAAATTGTTGAATGAGACCTCTTGGCCAACAATATTTCTGAAGCACTTAGTTGCTACTAGAGCACAATGACATCGTGCAATTTATGTAACCAACTCTATCTAGTAGGGTAAGGTTTGTTTGTTTGTTACTGTTGTGATTTCTTTCTCCCTTTGCCTCCTCAATTTTTTATCCTAGTATTGATGATGGGTTGTCCTTCTTTACAGTGTACGTTATGTATTGTCCCAAACTGACAACTACATCCAGTATGAAGAAGAGAGGCAGATGTGATGTGAAGGGATTTTGATCCAATGATGATGACCCTGCTACAGATTTTATATGATAGTGTCAAAATATGAGCAAGCATTATGAAAAAGGGGTGTGTAAAGCTCAAGCGTGTAAAGACATAATATTAATATCTCATCAGTAGGTTTTAATGGGAGTTCACAAATTTAGATCTACCAAAATGGCACTGTTGAGCCTGTTGGATAGAGCTGTATTTTCAAACGACTAATGAATATGATGTTTCTTTTCATAATGCATTGCACGGTACTGCAGTTAATCAGTTTTGCTTGAAAATGATCTGAAACTTGATGGAGATGCTTGACGAATGTTGAATGGACAGAAATTAGGATTTATGTGCTCTTTGCTTTGTGGGGAATCTAAAATTTATCACCCTCAGTAATTGATTAAAATGTTAAATGGATTTATATGCACTTGATTTTTAAATTTTGTTATCTTCTCTTCCCATCCGTATTCTCTCGTTACTTGCATTGCTATTATTAGAACACTTAGAAATTGTAATGTTAATAGTTAGTTTATTCAAATCATTATGTAGATTTTGATGACATTGTTGGTGAGTGATTAGTAAGTATTTTTGTAAGTGTCCTTTGAGTTTGGAAATATATTTTAGTTCTAGTGAGCTTTTAGGATTCAATTCACCTAAACTTTTGCTTATTACAACCAAAAAATAAAAAAGCAGATTTTGAGGGGTAAACATATTTTTAGTTGAAGGTTTTATAGCATTTTTATGTCTAAACTATTTTGCAATAAGCACTGTCTAGTTATCTGAAGTTACTTATTGAAGCAATGTTGTCCTTCGAGGTCCAAAATTGCTGTGATGTGACTAATAGACAATAATGTTAACTATTTAACTTCAAAGAGAGAAACTAATTTGATTAATATTAGTGATGCCTTAAAGTTCAATAATATAAAGTAATTGACACTTCTGTCTTTCAAAAAATTACTAAAACACGTGAGCATCATATTTAGGTTGTCACATTGCTTGCTAACTTGATGTTCTTCACTAGAGGAAAAACAAAATTTGTCAATTCACACTAATGATCAACTAATTACACTATTACAAGTTATATAGTATTCTCTTCGTTTCAAATTATAAGATATTTTTTAAAAAGTTTTTTCATCTTAAAATATAAGACACTTTAAGTAGATTAAGGTTTTATTAAATGCATCAATTTTAATATTACCTTTCTCTCTTTATAATTAATTTTTATCATTTTTCTTTTCAATATATTAAATGATGAGTATTTTTAAAAGTTTATATTTTTGTTTTAGAAAGATAAGGTTGTTAAGTGTATTTAATAAAATTTATTGGCATATGAGATTTTATCTAAAAATATCTTATAATTTGGAATGGAGGGAGTATTTGCTAAAGAAAACCTAATAGTCTTATAACTAGTTAAGAGAGACATATTAATTTGTCGAAATGTGATAATTCTTGCTTTTAAGATTATCAAATGTAGAAGTTGAATGGTGAGAACTTGAGGCTATAGTGGATAAAATTAGAAGTCTAGTGACAAGTGACTCACCAATGCAAAAAACATTTTTCACCATAATTAAAACATATTTTTGCCGACAGAAGACGCTACATAATAGAAAGTTATGTGATAGTAAATGAACATTTTTTGTCATAGGTCAAAACGAAACTGTAGTGAAAGATATTATTTTTCGCCACAGGTTCCAGCGGCACCTGTGACAAAAGATGTTATGTTTTGTCACAGGTCCCGGCTTTACTTGTGGTGAAAAATAACATCTTTCATCATATGTTTAAGCTTCACCTGTGGCAAAAGATACTATTTTTTGCCATAGGTACAAGCTTCACCGTGAAAACTAGTGTACTCGGTGTCATTTATGGCAACAATTGGATCCATTGGGTATTATAAAATTGGAAGCTTGGATGATAAAAATTGGAAGTTCCAAAGTAAGTGTGGTTACCAGTCATGAAAATACCTTAGGAAATAAGAAAAATAGAGGTTTGATAGTTCATGACTTAGACAAAAACATGATAACACTACGTTTTAAGACCAAGAAAAGTGAAGTATTTTTCGTTGTTTTTGTTTTAAAAACTGGATCAGGTAATGAATTGGAAAGATTAATGGGTCACGGGTCTTATAGTTTAACTGGTTAAACCTATGATTGAACCAATGACATAATAATTAAATAAAAAAATATTTATATACATATATATTGAAAAACAAGTCAAAACAATTCAAACATTTTAGGTCTCGATTTTTTGCTCCAGATCTTTAGAAGCCATCTGGGTCAAAACGGTCCAACCCAACTCAACTCTCAGAACATGCCCTATGGTTGAACCAGATCGCTTCCTTATCTAGTGATAGTTCAACTTGTTTGACTATTCAGGTATGAAAATATTGGTTCTTAGTTCTTTTAGTTTGATCAGTATATAATGTTAGTTTATATTATTTTACAAATGTACAGAAAAACTATGATCATGGGGCCTGCCGGAACTTGGAATTCTTCCTTGATTGAAGATGGGATTCTTCCTTAGTTGGAATTCTTCCTTGTTGACTGTTGGTGAAGGAATTATTCGTCATGAGTATTTTCATCAAAATAGACTTGCGTAACTTGCCTTCCAGATATTCTAGCTGGCATGAGTAAAAAGTTTCTGCTATAGGATTCTTCTTGTACTGGAGCTCCAAGCATCATTCTTGAATTTTGGAACATTCAATCCTGCAAGGAAACAGCGAAGAAAATATTTACCTCCTTACAATCACAGTGCATGTAAGTAGGGCTGTGTGAAAAAGTTTTGTGATACAAGACAAAATTATTTGGGACCTAAAGTTACGGAATCAAATATTAAAATTTTGTAGTTAAGTAATTCTAATATTTTATTTTCTTAATCTTAATTAGGATTGAAGCAATTTTAATTTAAAATAAAAACTTCTTTCAACAATAGCAATTATTACTGGCACTGTCAATAATATCTTATATACAAGTAATATACTGCCTTTGTTAAAAAATGTAAGGCATTTTTAACTGAATTTCACTTTTCAATAAAATAATTATCACTTTCAAACTAACCCTATCTTTTTATATTTATTTCTATTAAACACCTTATAATAAATATAAAGTCATTATCAATGGGGACACTTTTAGAAAAAAGACAATGATTACATCTCGAAAAACTAAAAATGCTTTGTATTTTTGAATATCCAACTCCTCAAAAAAAAATGTTTTACATTTTTAAATGGAGGGAGTATGTATTTGAAAAAGAGTAATTTCGATTGGGAAATTAATTCCTTCTGTCAACATTTCTTATAATACCTCCAATTTTGAAAATAAACCAAGACCATAAACATCATAATGATCATTAAAATTTAGGAATTTTTCAAGATTGATGCAAAACATTTTCAATTCATCTTCATTCAAACAAAATTCATTGACATCGGGAAATGGGAACAATAGGCACAGTGAAATGCGATACAATAAATTATCAATGAAATAAAAGATGTTCTTAACATCAATTCTTAATAAGAAAAATGACCCGTTAGAATATAAGCAAATTTTCGAAGCTCAAGGCAATGGCCTTAGACCCTTAGTGGCCTAACCGTAAACACGGCCGGTATATAAAGAGGACTCTGATGAGATATAACTGAAAAAGGCAACTTCTTTGACACATATCTTAACCTTCAGCAGATACAAAATTGGTTTGGAGTAAAGTATTGAAAATTAAATTTATTATTGAACCAATTAAAATACTAATTTAAGAGTTAATAATTAAAATTATATTGAATTGTAATCAGACATTTTATCAAATCCTTAAGTTATGCCAAATATAACGTTTCATCATTTTAATGAAATAAACCGTGGAAAGAATTACTTTGTCTAATTCAATTTCTTTCTTTCTTTGTTTTTTTTAGCAAAAGCAAAAGAGCATATCAATTTCTTCATTTTGACGACCCTAAGTTTTCATTTAATTATAAAACTGATAGAATTTTTAAGTTCATCAAGCTTATCTCAGTTAATGATTTTGTTTCTCAAGTTCAATTTTTACTTTGTCTATTAAAAAATGTAAGATATTTTTTAAGAGTTTAGTTGTTAAAAAATATTTTAAAGTATAATTAATGTGCTTTTTCCAACAGTGCTACTAATAAATAGATCATATTATATTTATTTTAAAGTAAAACATCCTATTAAAGAAGACTGAATATAAAAAGGTGATGTTATTTTGAAAAAAAAATTTAATTATTTAGTCCCTATAGTTTTGACTTAGTTGTAACTCAATTCATAAACTTTGACTTGTTATAAATTATTCCCTGAAGTTTTCACTTCATTGTAAATCATTTTCTGAACTTTACCTCTTACAATTTAGTTCTTAAAGTTTTAACTTTTTAAATATTGATCCCTTTATTTTAAAAATAAAATTATAAAAATTAAAAATATTTTAAAATTTATTACTAATATCTTAAATTACTAAACCCTTTTAATATTTATAAATATTAAAATTTTAAAATATTTTTAATTTTTATAATTTTATTTTTTAAAATATAGGGATCAATATTTAAGAGGTTAAAATTTCAAGGATTAAATTATTAAAGGCAAAGTTTAGGAACTGATTTATAATCGAGTCAAAACTTCAAGGATTGAGTTATAACGAGTTAAAGTTCAGGGGTTGAGTTATAATTGGATCAAAATTACAAGGACCAGATGATTAATTTTGTCTTTTGAAAATAACTAAATACTTTATTGGCAACATAATTCAATTAAAAATACCTTATATTTTTTAACGAAAAGAATATCAACATATCATTTAAATTTATAATGGTTATCAAATTGGTCCTTATTATTTAAAAGGGAGGCATGACAATTAAAATCTATTGATATGGATAACAAAATATTGATGACAATATCTAGATTGATTAAAAGAGATATAATTATTTAGTTAGGAAAAATATATTTTAAAATTTTAAAAAGCAAAATTTTTTTCTCTTTTTTGATTGCTTAAGGTTATTCTCTTATTAGAAGCAATTTTACTTGAGGCATAGTTTGAGCACCTCTCTTGAGAATTTAGACTTTGATTCATCACGTTATAAGAGACTAGTGTAATATTATCTAATTAACTCCACAAACTTAACCATATAACATTATACACTACCATGGTAATTATGAATTAGCTACCCTAACCACCTTATCATGGTGGAAAGAAATAACTGTAGTTAAGAAAAGCTACCCATAATAAAAAAAGAAAAAAGATGGGTTGAAGGCCTATTATGCTTT